GTTTGAAGAACAGATAAAATGCTGTAAATTGGCCAGTAATGGTGATATTTCCTCATCTTCTGAAAAACCCATTTATTCTCTCTCTCAACAAATCAAGGCATTGTCAGCCCATACTCATCTTGTGGCCAGAGGGGCTCCACCAATTTCTGGATGTAAGTGAGTCCTGGAATGCAGATGAGGCCGACTAACGAAGGCTTTCAGTGCAGGCAGCTGGTCTTTGCTTGCCTCAATTTCTAAATCATCTATAATGGGGCCAAGACCTCCCAAGCACTAAAAAGAGTGAGCTGACATGCTGGACAAACTGTTAATTTTTTCCTGAAGAAGCTCCTATATTGCACATCTGTCACTACGGTGCAGACAATTACTCACTGAGTCAGGGAAAAAAATCTGCCGCTTGTTTCTAGCTGAGTTGTTAAGGGACCTAATGGAGAAATACAATGGCGTGGGAGTCAAAACATGCTGGTTTCCTGTGTGCTCGGCAATTGTTCACTCCTTTTGGAAGACTGTCTTGTAATATTAAAACATGTGAAGTAGACTAAGATGTGTGTGTACAAAAAACAGCAAAGGAATGAGAAGAGGTACAATAAAAGGACAGGCATATAAAGAGGTAGGACGATCAAGAACCCAGCCTTACAGATTGCAGACCACTGTACTTATTGCTGAGAACGTAACAACGCTGTGGCCAGTGTATTAGAAATACTGTGATTTTGCACATTATAAATTTCAAACTTTTAATGTGTTTTCCCCAAGTGCTTCACAACCGTCTAAAAATTATTTTATGAATTTCATGCCTCGTATATGCAAGATGGTTTATCTATACTGTTTCCATAATGAATTACAGGCATCAGTGAGACACTTTAGAATTCCAGATTTGTCAGTCATCTAACAGAACTTTAGTTTTTTTTTTTTTTTTTTAATCTTCTCTAAACTCATTTACTTATCATAAATGAAATTCTGGCATTTGAAGAAATTAACTTCAATAAGTGATGGAAGAATTTGTTTGGATTTGAAAAGCATATATTGAGTCAGTATACTATCTCTCAGTCTTTCTATTTTTATTGAAGAATACTGTTTTTATAAAGAAAGAAACTTTTTTTTTAAAAAGAAATTTAATAGGAAGATGCAAACAGAAGATAGTTTTGGCTGTTTTACTTGGGATACTATTATAATATACTTTTATCTCTACAGTCTTACAGCTGGAAAATCAAGCATTCTGTACACTCTTAATATACTAGCAATTTATCTTGAAAGTTCAAACTGAAAAAAAAAAAAAGAAACATAAAAAATAGCCCTCAATTTTAACCTTACTTCAGCCTTGAAAAATTAAGAAACAAATACAGGACATTCTGATATTGCAACAGGAGGGAGGTATGTGGATCTGAGAATGATTTAAACTGTCTGACAATTCAAAGACAGGAGACAACTCTAATGTACAGATAAAACTAAAAGTGGCAATAGTAGATCATACTCCTGGCAGTTAATGGCAGTGACTCGCTGGAGACAAATCTGGATCTACTTAAAGTGTCAGGTGTGTAAAGTAATGAGTCTTTGCTTAGTAGGAACCCAGCAGAAGGAGCCTTCATGGTCCACTTGCCAGTTGAGTATATATTACTACAAGCCTGTTAAATCAATGAGTATTTAATACCTATTGCATGAAAAAAAAAAACCCTACTTATTTTAACAAGTTTACTCAGTTTTTTTGGGAGAAAAGATAAGTTTAATCAACATAGTGAAATGCCTTTTACAGCAAACAAAACTCAACACTTTAATGTGTATTACGAAACACTTAAAATGTCCAAGCAGCTTTATGAGAGGCACAACTTTCCAAAAGGAAATGGAGTGATTGTAACAGATTTGAACTCTGATACTTTAAGCGGTCAGAGAGAGCCTGCGTACCCTGTTACATTAGAATCACAGAATCCTTGAGCGGAAAGAGACCTTAAGCAAGTTAGCCTAATGAAGCTTCACAGAAACAATAAAAACAGGGAAATGTGGTAGAGCAGCTCACAATCGACTATGAATACATTTGTGAATCAAATACATTTACCAATATTTTTCTGTAATTTTTTTGAGGTATTGAAATTTTTCAAGGCTTAATAACAATGAACTTAACTGCATTATTAAATGCTAATTGTCATTGGGTACTCATTGAAACTAATTTTTGAAGTACTTTCAACTGTTAAAAAATTACTGTAAGGTAAAAGGGAAACATTTAAAGCACAAAGACAATGACTGCTTATAAATAATGGTCTTAAACATTAGGTTTTATTCTTTCCTTCTTTGTTGTACTATTAATATAACTTTCTACCAAAAGAAAAATAAAAAAAAAAATTTTTGCTAACGATTTCTTTACAATGCCAATTTAGATCACTTTTCTTTTTGAAAGACAAAATACAGATGAAAATGGTTTTAAAAAGCATGTCAACAGTGATTTTTTTCTCTTTTGGGAAATCTCTGCTCAAAATGAAATGTACTGAATAGAAGCAATTGTCAGTTCAATTTACAAGAATACCAATTCTCCATGTTAATATAAACATTAATAAAACGCAATATTTTGTAATTATGTCTGTATACTGCACACAGGCATTATAAATACACCTATAGGTACACATTATGTATCTCTTTACCCCTACTGTGTTAACTTCTGTTTGATAACCACAGTATGAGTTATAAAATATATGGTATTTAAATGCTGAGACCAATTTATGGGCAGATTTTAATTAGCAATGAATTCTTATTTAAAAGGGTACCATATAGTTTAAAAATAAAAGCAACCAAATTAAATATTGTATTTGGGGAGCAGAAAAGAAGGAAACAAATGACTCCAGCGCACAGTCTGGTCATTATCAAGTATAACAAATAAATTTTTTAAATAGTCAAGTTGCTAATGTAATCATGCTCACCGTCTCTAGGCTATTGCAGGTAATTAGGATAGAAAAGGAAGACCTATGCACTCTCTAAAATTTTTAGTACAACCAATTAATTTGCTATAAGGCTACAGATACTGTAGAAGAGTGGCTTCACAAAGGAGCAGAAGAAACATCTTACTACCTTTTAAAGGAAATATAAATGATACATTCTAAATCTTGGGGTTCTATGGACATCATAACTGGCAAAAAGTTAACTGTAACTATATATAAAACACAAATTAGTGGGCTTCAGATGGTGAAAGACATTTGATTTATACTAAAAAATTCCTATTTTAATTGTGCTTGTTTCTCCAATTAAGTTCAGGTACAACCAGAACATCAGGTCTGCACTGAATTTTCTTAAAGACTGAATGCTGAGGGCATGTCAGTAGGAGTACGGGGGAAGCTTGGGATGTTATCACTTTTCTGCTTTGAGTGCTGATTCACATATACTGTAGAGTACATATATTCTGCACAATTAAACACTTCAACAGAATAAGAAGTATTTTAAGTCCTCTGTGAAACACATAGAGGGCGTCAAGATGAAGAACTGTCTTCTATTAGCTGAAAATATAAAGAAGAATTTTTTTGAGGTGTTAGAGAACCTAAATGTACATCCTACAGAAGTTGCTTCGGAAGATCTGTATCTGGCCAGAACAGCAACAATAAACAGCATTCATAAGGACTGCAATATTTAATGAAGAAGTTCCTATACACTAGTCTGATATATATACTGCTCTTCTTCACTACAAGGGTTTTTACCTCCATTAGAACATAGTAAGGTGAAAAAGAACAGCCAAGTCCTCAGGAGTTTGGAACCAGGCTCACAATGACCTCATTGTTTGCTCTCAGTGGCTTCAAACTTGGCTTTTTGAGATCCTAGGGTTTTCGAAGATCTCCAGGCAATCAAATTAAGAAAAAGCTCAAACACCAAATTTTGAATAGACCCTAGAGCACAATACACTATCACAAAGAAGTTTTAAAACTTGCATATAATCTTCCCCCTTTCCCTGGCTACGGAGACAGAATGAGTATTTAGAAAATATCAGTTTAAAAAATGGCAAATTTATAAGTAAAAAACTTGTAGAAAGTCCATGGGGTTACTTTATCCAATAAGAATGATTCAAAAGAACATCTCTTCTGGTCGTCCATAGTCCCCTAACCAACCTGTCCTCTAGGCACAATATCCCTGGGAAAGAAGACGATTCTCAAGAAATGTACATTTGGCAAACTGTGAAGAATTTCAAATAGAAGGTTGGCCTTCGCCTCCCCAGTTGGCAGGATTTTTTTTAGGGGACCACCTGAGAAAGGTCTGTTACATGCATAAACTTCCTTTAACACCTTTTAAAAACTCTTCTGGGGGCCAGGCGTGGTGGTTCATGCCTATAATCCCAGCACTTTGGGAGGCTAATGTGGGCAGATCATTTGAGGTCAGGAGTTCAAGACCAGCCTGGCCAACACAGTGAAACTATGTCTATACTAAAAATATAAAACTTATCTGGATGTGGTGGTGGGTACCTGTAATCCCAGCTACTTGGGAGGCTGAGGCAGAACAATCGCTTGAGCCCAGGATGGGGAGGCTGCAGTGAGCCGAGATTACGCCACTGCACTTCAGCCTGGGCGACAGAGCCAGATTCTGTCAAAAAAAAAAAAAAAAAAAAAAAGAAAGAAACAAAAAATCTCTTTGGAAAGTGACAAGATTTAAAAAACCCATTAGAAAGGTGATTCACGTGTGTTATCTTAGTCTTTACTCAACCAATAAAAGCCATTATAAATAAAATAATAATCATCATAAGTTGTTAATAATAAGGATAATAAATAAAGATCTTCTAAACTAAAAGCAATTTAGAATCTCTGATACTATGAAGCAAATGACTCAGAAATAGCTCAATACTAGGCACATAATAAAAAGGACTTCTTTGCTAGGTTTTAAAGTAACATCTTGGGTCCTAGAAAGGGCAAATCAGTACCATTTACTTATTTTGTTCACCTTCTAAATGGGTTGGGCCATTGCCAGAAATCTGAGTTCTGGGAGAGCCATTTAACTCTTCATACAAATGGACTCAATATTGTAATAAATTACTCCAATGATTAAAATTTTAAATCCATTTACTACACTTGAGTTGATCTTAAAAAAAAATATCAATCTTTGGGAAAACAGAGGTAGAAGTACATCTGGATTAATAGAATTTACAGTTCAATCATGGTGAATTTAAAAAATACATTTTTCTTTCAATAATCATTTTATGTTCTAAATGAGGTAAAATTTATAAAATCTGCATTAAAGTAATGTCGAGGGCACTCTGGTGATAACAATGATGAGGTTTATTTTTGTCAAAATGTCCAAGGGAAACATTAATTATTGTTTGTCAACTGTGAACTTCACACTACATTGTCTAAGGATAGAAAATTAATGGGTATCACTCTGTCAGAAAATCCTCACAAAGAAGCCAAATTCAAGGAATGTGAAATTGACAAGCCTTTCAAACAAAGATGTGTTCGGACTTCCCTGATGGGATGGCAGGTCTATTGGGTTACAATAGATAGGGATGATATAAAACACAATCCTTTCCTGCCTATCCCATTTTAGAAACCAGTGGGTGTGCTCACATTTGTCTGGGCATTGCAGCACTGCACACATACATGAATTAAGCAAAGCATCAGAAAGTACTGACACATGAGATTAAAATAAATAAGAGAAACGAGCTGCTCTTTATACCTAGAAATAGCTGGAAATTACTGAAAAAAATTAAAGGGCAGAGGTTTTCATTTTAGCACCATGAATTGTGATGAAATCCCATTTCTCTCACTATGGTAGGACTGTATGCAGTAAGGAAGCTAGAGTGATGTGTTTGAGGCAATGTAGATTTTTGCTTCAAAAACAGAAGTCATGTTATCATTTTAGAACAATGGGACATACTGAATAAAGTCTGTAAAACATTTTTTCTTTGCTTTTCTTAGGCGGATTTTCCTGCATTGGGGGTATTAGTTGCGGAAGTACTTTTTGGTAGAGGAAATCCAAGTCCTAATCCCTTTGGCCTCTGCATGGCTTGAATTGGCTCAGAGATCCCCTTGCCATCTCGTCCAAGGCCTGACCCAGGTGTCCAGCCCATATTCTGAAGCATTCGGTTTCCAATATTATTTTCTAGGATTGGCTGAGCATTTTCACCTACAAATCCTGAAATGATAAAACAACAGCACACATTAATCAGTATGAACACAGCTGAAGATATTAGGCTATGAAAACGATGTTCTCCTAAGTTTTTTTCTTTTTTCCAATCAGGTACTAGAGGGGGCTGCGTATTCATCTTTGGATACTTCTTGTAGCTGAGAGAACAATGGAAGAAAGATCTTGTTTAGAATTTCAATTCTAGCACCTCACAGCAGGGTGAGCTATTCAACCTCTCTGGGATTTTGTTTTCTCATCTGTGAAATAGCCACAATACAACCTACATTGCCTATCTCACAGAAACCTGTAGGACAGATGAGATCATGTATGTAAAGAAACTTCTCAGTAAACCATAAAGTACCCTACGAATGGATTTATTTTCTTTACCATGTTAGCCTTATGGATTATTCTGAAAATCATCAACATATATGGTAATATCTTACATTTGCCCACGACCTTGACATTTGACAGAACCAAAACTAAAACCAAACCAAACAAAAAGCACAACTGGTGGCATCTTGAATTCCTAGGAATTTACATTCTTATAATCTCTCTCCTTGTTATTTATTATTCAGTCTGTAATGTATGCATCCTTTAGTTCCTTTCCTCCTTTTCCTTCCATGGCCACATTTAAATGACTATATAATTAAGTTAGTAGAAATAAAATAGAGGAAAATAATATTAAATATACATATATTATAAAATTTAAAAAATATATTATATAAATTTGCAGGGACATAGACCACAATTCCCTCCATAGGCCTCCAGGGATAGATATATTTCTCCCTATTTCCCTCCCTCCTTTCTTCCCTTCCATCCCTCCCTTCCTCCCTTCATTCCTTATTTGAAAAAGGAGATTGGCTAGTGCTTTTAACATGAAATTTAGATATAGATGTTGTTTACCACATTTTGTTAGCAGGCAATTGAAAAATGCATCAATTTTAAGCATTTTCTCTTTGATGACATTTTCAAAAATAGACTTCTAATTTAATTTTCTTTTTTGGGCCCTTATAGAAAAAGTTGAGCATAGATAGTGTATATTTGGTTCTAGGGAAAAACTGAGAAGTACTAGATATCTGAAGTCCAAAGATGGAGAAATTAACAAACACCATGAAAGTCAAAGAATACAAGAACTTGAGCTCTTTCCTTCAATTGCAAGCTTGGGCTTGGCCTTGGGCGTGGTTGGTCTATCTCAGGCGTGGCACAGGTTGGCTCTTTCCTTGATTGGTTCATTTCTGTTCCTCCTCTAGCAGCAGGTATTGTATTATCGTGTATGAAAAGGGAATATAGCAAATCTGGAGCTAACCAGATACAAGCAATCAGAAATTATTTAATTTCTGATTATCAGAGCATTATCAGAGCATTTCTCATGGTTACTCCCCTCTTAGAAGAAAGTGGTTAACAAATAAACTAATATTGGAGTCTGTAAGAAAAAAAAAGAGAGAGATGAAAGTGTATCTTAAAAGAACCTTTGTCTTAGTGAGAACATATTTGGCCCAGCCCAATCTCTTATACCAGGGCTCAAATTTACAGGGATACAGTGTTTGACACCATTCCCTCCATAGGCCTCCTATACTAACACTTTCCAAATATCTATAGAATGCCTGTGGTATAGCAGCTGAGACCTGGCTCTAGCATATTTCTGCTCTGAAATGTGGACCATGTCTTCCTAGACAGAGGTAGAAATGGGCAGCTGTTGACATAACCACTCACTACCCTCAAAGGTTCGTGAGTCTCTTTAGTACCAACCTGTACCTCACCCTGCCACTACCCCTTTCCCATCATCAGTTTTCTTCTTCTCTGACTCAGGATTATTACAGGACCTTCTCCCCAACTACCCCCGCAAAAAAGCTAGAACTCTCTGTCCTACTGTTTGCACCTTCTCCCCAACTACCAAAAAAAAGTTGTAACTCTCTGTCCTACTGTTTCTCTGAGACTATGTTCAGAATGGTGGTACCAGCAGAGAAGGATCCTTGGATCTCAAACATCAATAAGAATAACAAAAATATTAACAATGGGACTCCAGAGTACAGTAGTGTTCTCTTTCTTATCCTGAGTTGTGGTTACCCAAATGGCCAATTTATTATTGTTCTTTAAACTGTTCATATACTTTTTTTTTTTTTTTTAGACAGAGTCTCACTCTGTTGCCCAGGCCAGAGTGCAGTGGTGAAATCTTGGCTTACTGCAACCTCCGCCTCCTGGGTTCAAGTGATTCTTGTGCCTCAGCCTCCTGAGTAGCTGGGATTACAGGTGTGTGCCATCACACCCAACTAATTTTTGTATTTTTTAGTAGAGACGGGATTTCACCATGTTGACCAGGCTGGTCTTGAACTCCTCACTTCAAGTGATCCACCTGCCTTGACCTCCCAAAGTTCTGGGATTACAGGTGTGAGCCACGGCACCCAAACTGTACATATACATTTTTAAGTGTATTCTTTGAACTATGTATTTCACAGTAAAAAATAAAATAATAGTACAAGAAATGTCAGCGTTGAACCAACAGTGTATCTTATCTGGTAATCTGTATCTCACATTGTGGGGAAGAGCAAGCGAGTCACGCTCTGTGATTCTTACTTGTAGAACAAGGAAAGCCACAAAATGCTAGACATGGGTTTTAATACCTACAACCCTCTTATTTACCATGGAGTAATCATCAATTGATTTTCAAAGCCGTTTATTAAACATTTTGGTATTTTCAATCTTCGGCGCATTTCAAGACCAAGAAGAGACCACATCATTACCATTTGCTAAATTCCTTACAGGGGTTAAGAACTAGCCATGATTAATTGGCTTTGGATTCTTCAAATGAATTCATAGCTCATAGAAACAAGTACCTTAACATGTAACAAAAAGAACCTTCAACTACTTGCCTATTGAGTGGCAACATCTAATGTCAAACAAAAATTCTTGACTAACATTATTTACTGCTTGAGAAGGGCAAAATGCATATACAGAGATTATAATAATGTGTGTGTGTGTGTGTGTGTGTGACAGTGAAAAATGGACCTTAGTCACCAATGCATATATCCATGCACAAAATAAAAAGTCTTTTGTCAAAAATGCTGAATATAACACAAAAGCAATAATTATTTTGAAGCATGACTGTGGGTGGTAACCAGGACAGACCTCCACAGACCTCCAAGGTATGTAGTTCTTCTGGACAGCTGCTGATCAGGTAGTCAGATTAAACAGTGCCTTAGCATGTTGTCTCATATCCTTGATTTTGGGTGATTGTCATAATTAATTTAATTCTACCCTAAGCTAAAGCCAGACCAGAGGTCTAATGCTGGCTCTGGGCTGTACATCGTTTACTCACATTTTTGATAGGATAGCTTTGCAAAAAGTTTCAGAATTAAAAATTTGTTTAAATATTTTAAGAAAAGAATAATGCCAATTTAAAATATTTCTATAAAAATTGCTAAATTATGGTGCATTTCGTCCTGAAGTGAACAGCAAATGATAATTGATTCACTATTATAATTTTAAAATGTTGGTATTTCAAGCAGGGTAGCCCAGGGGTGATCAGCATACTCTCATGCTTTTGTTTTTATATAGACGGAAAAGAACTCATTCTCATTTTTTTTTAAATGATGGTTTCATTTTTCTTCATAAAAATAAAACAATACGACACAAAAGAAAGCATTATCTTGTACTCGGAAGAAAAAAGAACATTTTATTCTTCAAATGCTAAATCTTTCCTCATAGAAACACAACCTAAAAAACAAAAACGGTAACAGAGACTTCATTATTCATGGAAAGTGATTCTAGAGTAAAATCTACTGTTGGCTTCTCATCCTTCTTTTATGAGATTAAGACTTGGGAGTGGAACAACTCAGCCTCAGTGCAGTATATACCACAACCATAATTTCCCTTTCTTTTGCTCCTGGCAGTGTTAAATCCTTTAAGACCTTTCCTAGAAGGCTCTCCTGCTCGGGCAGCTTTAGCAATACATCGCCTGCTAACCTTTCTGCCTGCTTCCGCTCCCAGCCCCCTGTCTGCTGGATCTCTCATATCCATTACAGCTGAGTCGGTCCTTTCCCCTCAAATCTTCCAAAGAGTACCGTGGAGGGTAATTCACTTGCATAATTGGCTCAAGAGATGAAAATCTTGTATCGGCCTCTCTTAGCCACTAATCTATCCAGCTGACTGCAAGCCTAATTGGCAGCTTGTTTAGTAATTTGGCTCCTAAAGTGTTGTATTGATGTTGGATAAACAGCCAATGGAAGGGGAGGTGACACATGCTGCTTCCCATAGAATAGCTAGTGTACTCCGCCTCTGTCCCTACCCTGTATTCACAAGGCATTTATTAGTTTGTGATCACTCTTTCTTCGCATACTTTTTTCGCCATTACTTGACTAGCCAGCTGAGAGGCTGGGCTATTCTCACTATTATTAGCAACGTTATAACAATGGTAAGTTATAATACTGTTCTCTGTTCTCAGTAACTAATTTAGCGGCACAGATTTTTGATTGTTATTATTATGAACTCAAGGAACAGCATGAAGCACAGTTTAAGATGAGAGAAAGTGGTAGGTGTTACTACTACTCGTCGTCTAATGTTTTAATTATTTCATTTATTAATATAGAAAAGCTTCGTTACTTCAGACTAGTTTATAATTTTATCTGCAATATTGCAGACATACTTCATGATACTTTTGTTAACTAAAATCAGTTTAAATAGTTAAGTGCGTAAATATATGATGCACTGACTTATTTAAATAACAGAAATTTAATGTAAAACTAGTTTTTTTTCCTTAAGTGATAAAAACCTTGTAGAGAATAAAAGACATGATCTGTTATTGACATGCTTAGAAGAGGAAGTGTTCTTATTAATAGATGTTTTTAGTTAAACTGAAATATATTTCTTATGGAATGCTTATGTATCAAACAGTATGTATTTTCAAAAAATTAAAAATAAATCTTACAAATAGAAAACTGTTTTGGCCCTGAAGTCAGATAGGAATGTTTATCTGCCACAATATAATCAGAATCATTTTTGGTCTTCCTACT